GAATCTTTGAAAAGCGAGCGACATCTTAGTTGGAAGAAGCAGTTTGTGTGTTTGGACTAAGCCCTTCAACTGTGAGCCAAATGTGCTTTCATTCTGCTTTCTGTTTACTCATTTTGCTGCTGCGCTGATGGCTGAATTTCCCTCTGGAATAAGAAAAGTAATGACTGGAGGAGGAGGAGGAAGAGGAGGGGAGTGGGACCAGGCGGCAGTGGTTTGGTGAGGATTAGGGCTGAGCTGACCTGAACTCCGGCCAGCATGCCGGTCGTCGACACGCTGAAGTCCAGATAGGCCAGGCCGTCCGGGTTGGTGGGCTTATAGAGAGCTGGAGGCTTCTTCTTTGGCAGGTCATCTGCAGCATGTACACACACACACACACACACACACATATGTATTTATTTCATTGCACTCAAGAGTACAGTCTCATTTCAAACACTGACCTCCAGCTGAACCCAGAGAGAAAAGGGCCTCAAATACTCTGCTGCAGCAGAATCACAGCAACATGACTGATGTCTCACTTTCCATATAAAAAGAGCTTTAAAGCACAAGCATGGTGATACTCTGTGTTTCTCTCACTGTTAACAAATCCCAAGGGAAGACAGAACCAACAACAAACAGTGCTAACAAGCTCTGTGTGTACAACTGCAGCCTGATAGATCCCTTTCCACCCTTTCCTGGGTGAGATATTCCTTTATAATCAGTGGCACTCACCCACCGGTGTTTATTTTCACCTGATCCATATATACAAGTGTTCTTAATCTGTATTCGTACTCTGCTGGAAAAGCACAACAGCCACACGGAGATGAGAGTAAAAAAAGCATTAGGGTGTATGTGTGTGAGAAGAGCATGTCTCTGAATGTTCATCTGAATATGTATCTCTGTTTTGCAGTCACAGGGAATATGTTGGTCCCTCTGATATTTTTGACAAACCTGTAAACTTCATATTTAAATGATCTTGTTTAAATGATCATCCATGCACAGTTCACATGTTCTCATCTGACCAGTTTCTGACTAGCTGGAGATTTGTTGCTGGTAAGAAAATCTCTACAGCGTGCACTAAACTCAAGGCTCTCACATTTAATCTGGTCCGCACCTGTCTTGAAATTTTGACCTGCCTAGATGTAGCCTGTCCGGTCTGTGCACTCATTAATAGACAGTTGCACCTCCAGACTGCAGGCTGTGAAAGGTTTGGTTCTCTGGGGTGAGTTTAAGCAGCCGGAGATTTGGACGGCAACCACAGGACGAAGGACAGGGAGCTGAAACAGGCAGCCAACTGTCACATGAAAGTGAACCCTAAGTGATCCCAAAACTACAGCAAGTGCAGATAACCAATTTCTTTAGTGGGTTCACTGAAGAAAACATTAAGTGTTCCAGTTGTTCTATTTAAAGGGTGATCTAGATCTTATTCTTTGCTTTTAGTCGTCTTGGCTCAGTAGAGCGATTTGGAGATTTTTCTTGAAGGGCAAAAACAAAGGGAAAGAGTGTCTGTGATTTATAACACACACATAAAGAAACAGAATTCTTTTTGTTTTAATAATAATTGGAAGCCAAAATTGTAATTCAATTAATTCGATTCAGACCCGTGCTGACAGCAGACAAAACATTAGCGGCGATATGGACTGAGGGGTGTGGAAAAGACACTTCCACACGCATCAATTCAATAAACTGATAACAGACTTG